TCTTCCTTGAAGCAACTGAAGCCATCATGGATATCTCCCTCAATAAAATATTTGAAATACTTTAGTTCTCATATCAAGCAACTCTTCTATGTCAGTGACTTAAGAGACAGATATTACATACCTTCTGGATGATTTGTACTAAGTATCTTTGAGTCATCTATAAATTGGGAATCATAACCTTTGAAACAATGACTTAAATCTATTACAATTACCAAATAAAAGAATGCATGCAAAATATTTACATTTTAAAGGATTTTTGTCATTTTTATTCATGTTGCTGTTTTATTTCTAGTTAAACAGTATTTAAACAACTTCCCTAATCATCAAGTATACTTTATCATGAAACTTTCCAATTACTGTTAAGTTGTTGATTTTTATGGGAACAAAATTCTCTGTGGTCAGGATATTTGCCATGATTTCTTAGTTTTATCATCATAAATTAAGCCCTATGTTTAGTAATTCCTTGGATATTTTATTCAGAACGGTACATGTATATATCATTCCTCATTCCCTCCAGATGCATTAAGTAAACAATCCCTTCACTGTTATTTCCCCAGCTTTAATTTATAGACTGATACTCAACTCTCTTAACAAACAGCATCAATATCTCGTTAAGTCACTTCAGTCGTGTCCGACTCAGTGCGACCCCGTAGACGGCAACCCACCAGGCTCCGCCATCCCTGGGATTCTCCAGGCAAGAACACTGGAGTGGGTTGTCATTTTCTTCTCCAATGCATGAAAGTGAAAACTGAAAGTGAAGTCGCTCAGTCGTGTCCGACTCTTCGTGACCCCATGGACTGCAGCCCACCAAGCTCCTCGGTCCATGGGATTTTCCAGGCAAGAGTACTGGAGTGGGGTGCCATTGCCTTCTCCAGTATCTCGGGCAGATAGTGCAGTTAACAAACTTCTTTCACTGAACATCCATATTTTCAAATATCTGTTATCTTCAGGGTACTGTGCTCCCGAAGGACACACCAGGATTTATACATCCTGCCTTTAAGAGTTTTAACTAAACTGCAACTCCCACTAACTAACCAAATTGGAAGGCGACATCTGTAAAATTCATACAGTTGCTCAAACTTCATAAAAATCTATGGCTGATTCATGTCAATGTATGGCAAAAACCACTACAATATAAAACAAAAGAAAAGAAAAGAATTCCATGGACAAAAAAAATAAAATAAAAATCATTGAAGATTTTTCTATACCCTTAGTTGCTACATCCAATCATTTAGCAAATGTGATAATTTTATGAGCTAACTATTTCTAAGATATTTACCAATATGCACCACTGTCTTTAAGGCCTTTAATATTTGTCTCTCCATAAGCTTTTCGTTGGCTAGTCGCTAAGTTGTTTCCAACTCTTTGCAATCCTGTAGATCATAGCCTGCCAGGCTCCTCTGTTCATGGGATTTCCCAGGCAAGAATGCCAGAGTGGGGTGGATACTTACTTTGTATGCTGTATTCAAGTCATGGAAATAGACTGTAGTTACACAAACATTTGTGTTTTCTACATATCCATTGGCTTTTCTCACTTAGTTTTCTCTTACCAGAATACTCCTTCCACTATTTCTTTCCTAGCTAATAATATTCTGATTCTCTCCCCCCACCCGCACCCACCCCCCCGCACACAAAATGATGTATTCTAAAATCTACCTGAATATAATGCACAAGCCTCGGTCACAATATTTACCATTTGCATAAACTGTATCTATTTGTAGATTAATCTCTATTATTAGACTTACGCCATCCCTGGGATTCTCCAGGCAAGAACACTGGAGTGGGTTGTCATTTTCTTCTCCAATGCATGAAAGTGAAAACTGAAAGTGAAGTCGCTCAGTCGTGTCCGACTCTTCGTGACCCCATGGACTGCAGCCCACCAAGCTCCTCGGTCCATGGGATTTTCCAGGCAAGAGTACTGGAGTGGGGTGCCATTGCCTTCTCCAGTATCTCGGGCAGATAGTGCAGTTAACAAACTTCTTTCACTGAACATCCATATTTTCAAATATCTGTTATCTTCAGGGTACTGTGCTCCCGAGGGACACACCAGGATTTATACATCCTGCCTTTAAGAGTTTTAACTAAACTGCAGCTTCCACTAACTAACCAAATTGGAAGGCGACATCTGTAAAATTCATACAGTTGCTCAAACTTCATAAAAATCTATGGCTGATTCATGTCAATGTATGGCAAAAACCACTACAATATAAAACAAAAGAAAAGAAAAGAATTCCATGGACAAAAAAAATAAAATAAAAATCATTGAAGATTTTTCTATACCCTTAGTTGCTACATCCAATCATTTAGCAAATGTGATAATTTTATGAGCTAACTATTTCTAAGATATTTACCAATATGCACCACTGTCTTTAAGGCCTTTAATATTTGTCTCTCCATAAGCTTTTCGTTGGCTAGTCGCTAAGTTGTTTCCAACTCTTTGCAATCCTGTAGATCATAGCCTGCCAGGCTCCTCTGTTCATGGGATTTCCCAGGCAAGAATGCCAGAGTGGGGTGGATACTTACTTTGTATGCTGTATTCAAGTCATGGAAATAGACTGTAGTTACACAAACATTTGTGTTTTCTACATATCCATTGGCTTTTCTCACTTAGTTTTCTCTTACCAGAATACTCCTTCCACTATTTCTTTCCTAGCTAATAATATTCTGATTCTCTCCCCCCACCCGCACCCACCCCCCCGCACACAAAATGATGTATTCTAAAATCTACCTGAATATAATGCACAAGCCTCGGTCACAATATTTACCATTTGCATAAACTGTATCTATTTGTAGATTAATCTCTATTATTAGACTTTATTATGGGAATACTAAGGATACCATTGGGCTTCCCTGGTAGTTCAGCTGGTAAAGAATACACCTGCAACGCAGGAGACCCGGTTCAACTCCTGGATCAGGAAGATCTGCTGGAGAAGGGGATAGGCTACCCACTCCAGTATTTTTGGGCTTCCCTGGTGGTTCAGACAGGAAAGAATCCACCTGCAATCCGGGAGAACTGGTGTTCAATCGGAAACCACTGAAAAACTTACACTTTCATTTTCAAGGTTAGTATCAAGGTCATCTTGAAATGCCCAGAAATGTGGTATTAATTTAGTGTAAACTCAAAGTAATGTGATCTCAATAAATATTTAATTTATCTTGAAATATTAGTAGTAATCTGCTGCTGCTAAGTTGCTTCAGTCGAGTCCGACTCTTTGCAACCCTATGGACTGGAGCCCACCAGGCTGCTCTGTCCATGGGATTCTTCAGGCAAGAATACTGGAGTGGATTGTCATGCCCTCCTCCAGAAGCTCTTCCCAACCCAGGGATCGAACCTGCATGTCTTATGTCTTCTGCATTGATAGGCAAGTGCTTTTACCACTAGCGCCACCTGATAAGCCCTATTATTTGTATAATAGCAAATAATAATAATTTGTTATTTAATAGTCTGAAAGAATTTTCAACAGTAATATGATTTGCCCCCCCAAAAAAACAGTAAAATAGTTCCCAAAAGCTGATACATTTATTGTCATCATAAAACTGTATTCCCACCTAACTACCATTAAAGAATATAGTGAAATAAATATAGTCTCCTGGGAAAGAATTTTAAAACTCAGTACTGTTTACTCTAAAAGAGATGATTTGTTAGAAAATATGTTTTACAAAAAAGAACCTCGGAGAAAAGAAGATGGTATTCTTACAAGTAATTTCAAATAGCATCTGTATAAAACACAGAACTAACTATAATGACCAGGGGATGAAATCATGGTGGAATTAAAACACCTTACAACATGTAAGGTGGCTAGGGACAGGATGCTGAGAAGGGCTACACTGTTTCAGGGTCTTGTATTATTTGATGGTAGTTAGATGTTATTAAGATTTCATTTTGCTAAATTTTAGTGGTAACTACTATAGGATATGGGAGAAGGAAATGGTAACCCACTCTGATATCCCTGCCTGGAAAATCCCATGGACAGAGGGGCCTAGTGGGCTAAGGTCCATGGGGTTCCAAAGAGTTGGACGTGACTTAGCGATTAAATCAGAGAAGGAAATGGCAACCCACTCCAGTATTCTTGCTTGGAAAGTCCCATGGACAGAGGAGCTTGGTGGGCTGCTGTCCATGGGGTCGCACAGAGTCGGTCACAACTGGAGCATCTTAGTATGCATGCATGCGTACTATAGGATACATGTAGAATGTTGATCTTCTAGACCACAAAAGATAAAGAAAATTATATAGAAAACTTAAATGACTCCCAAGAATGCAGAAAAACAAAGAGAAGCATAGACATGGAGGGATTGCTATAAAACTTACAATCTGATGCTTGCAAACTCCCAAAAGTATCAGTAAAAAATAAATTCAGTAGTTAAAGAGCATAGATTTTTAGATTGGGAAAACTCTACTAATAGGAATATAATTTAGAGTTAACTCTGAGAAATACCAGGTCGATGGATACCAAGAATCTCACTTTGTTTTACTTTTTTTGCTAAATAATACTGTTTCTAGCACTTTATCTGAAGGAAGTCATCTGAAATCAAAGAAATACAATGCTGGGCCATTGGGTGACCAACTATTTTTCCCTCAATTTAAGTTTTCTCTATAAGCATTTATATCTTTTGCTAGTCCAGAAGATCAGCACACACTTTTTCAAAACATGTACAGACTGATAGATTTTTTAAATATATAGATTAATTTCTATAAGATTACTGAAAAGCATGAGTGATGGCTGAATTAAATGTGTGTGCAAATATATATACAGATATCTCAGTCTCATTAGGTACTTTCTCATGCTATTGGAGCACCAGGGCCAAGCAGTTGCCCAGATGTGAGTCCTTAACAAGATGTAACCACAGACATAAATACCTCTCAGAAATGAGGAACATTCTCATGACCTTGACAGTGCAATGTCTTGGCAACTTTCCAAAGCCATTAGGAAACATTCCCTAAACTTCCAAAGAAGGCTTGAGGGTTTTAAAACTTTTTTTTTCAATTTGTAAAGAGAAGTAGGGGGCAGATAAAGCTGGCCAGTGAAGTAGGGGAGATAAAACTGGACAAGTGGGGAGATCACAACTTTGTGCTGAATAGGACTTCTCAGCTACCTACAGTACCAACATGTCTTTGGTTCTGCTGTCCATCCTCTGGCTCATCATTCAGACTCAAGGTAAGCACTAATATACTGACAATTCCAAAGAATTATTTCATCATTGTCATGTCTTTCCAGGATAGGGAGAGAAAGCTAAAGAAAAATTCTTTGTTATCAAAGCTTAGGTAGAAGAAGGAAATTATTCTTCTCAGTGTTTCTCTTCTCAATGGGAATTGTCTTCCACGCAATTTCAACAAACCAGTCAACAAAAACATTTACATATTTTATATCAATGTTATGTCTCTTTCTCTAGCAATGACCATAAGACAAACACTTGAATCAGAACTGTATGAAGTAGTTCATCCTAAGAAACTACACATTTTACACAAAAGAGAGATACAGAATAACCAAACAGAGAAGCATGGCGAAGAGGTAAGCAGTGGATTGATCATGGTGTCATCTAATGAGACAGTAAAGGACCTTTTACTAGTAGAAGTGATGTCACAGTCAACATCTAATAGTTTAATTTTGAAATCCATTTATACAAAAGCTCCCCTTTGCCCTGGAGAGGGCATAGGTTTTCTTTAAATGCTTTTGCCCTGAAGCAGCAGTAGGGAATCAGATCAGAAAGAATAAAGCGGCTTGGACATTTCTCCAAGTTTGTGGGGAGAACAAAATAAAGGAAGACAGGAATGGCAGCCATTTCAATGAGATAAAATTATCTCATTAATTTACAAGATTTTTTTTTTTTTACTGTGTTGAAGATACTCTTTGACTATTACATTTTTGCAAATATTTTCCTCATTTTATAATTTTTATTTTAATTTTTAGTATGCTTTTGTTTTAGCTTTTTTTAGTATATTTGGTTTAGCTTTAAAGCAGTAAAAATATATGCCTTATTATTACCCTATTAGGGTCCATTAGGGTACAGAACTGTCTACCATCAGTCAGTCACTGTATACCATATGTTACAGCAAATGACAAGTTCATATCTTACATATTACAGTGAGTGTAATCTGTATTATTACCATGTTATTGTACTTTTTAGAAATCTATTTTGGTGTAAAATTTGTGTTTCCTTTTACATATTTTAGAAGCATGAGAACTGCTTTTATCTTACATGCATTTGTAGTTATCATTCTGCACAGCTACCTATATCATTATAATTATTTTAGATAGATTCAGAAATGTAAACTATCATTATATTATTAAATATCTTTAGGAAAGATATGAACCTGAACTTCAATATCAGATGATGTTAAATGGAGAAGAAATCATTCTTTCCCTACAAAAAGCTGAGTAAGTTGTATTTTCTGCAAGTCTAATCACTGGATTATTCTAAAAAAATGTAGGAAAATAAATCTTGAAACTCTATATAGTATAATTTCACAAAGAAGACATGAAACATATTGAGCATTAGATGCTAATTGTTTGTATTAATGTTATAGAAAAAGCTTAATGTTTCTCTAGCAAATTATATGCAAAGTATAAAACAAAGGAAGCTGCACAAACAACTTTCTTCCTTGGTAATTTTGGAATTTGCTGCAAACATATTTTACCCAGATAAACTCAAACCTTTGATGTGACTTTCCAGTAATTTTATTTAATTGCAGTATATTTTCTTTGAAATATTATGTTAGTTTCTACTGTACAGAAAAGTGAATCAACTACATGTATATGTATAACCCCTTTCTTTAATTTCCTTCCCATTTAGGTCACCACAGAGCATTGAGTAGAGTTCCCTGTGCTATAAAGTGGGTTCTCATTAGTTATCCATTTGATATATCACTTCAGCTCAGATTTGTTCACTCGCTCAGTCATGTCCAACTCTTTGCGACCCCATGGACTGCAGCACACCAGGCTTCTCTGTCCATCACCAACTCCCAGAGCTTGCTCAAACTCATGTCCATCGAGTTGGTGATGCCATCCAGCCATTTCATCCTCTCGTCCCCTTTTCCTCCTGCCCCTAATCTTTCCCAGCATCAGGGTCTTTTCAAATGAGTCAGTTCTTCGCATCAGGTGGCCAAAGTATTGGAGTTTCAGCTTCAGCATCAGTCCTTCCAATGAATATTCAGGACTGATTTCCTTTAAGATTGACTGGTTTGATCTCCTTGAAATACAAGAGACTCTCTAGGGGAGAAGTCCAACACCACAGTTGAAAATCATCAATTCTTCAGCACTCAGTTTTCTTTATGGTCCAACTCTCACATCCATACATGACCACTGGAAAAACCATAGCTTTGACTAGACGAACCTTTGGCAACAAAGTAAAGTCTCTGCTTTTATATCTAAGGCTCATTCAGGGTACACAGCCTTGAGATAGATCTCAGGGAATAGGGTTCCACCAAGTTCTATAATAATCAGTAAACTTCTCCCTGAATGCAGTGGTCCTTGATGTGTACTTGTGACCCAACATCCTTCTGAGATTGCTTAAAGGCTGTGTTCTTGGTGCAAAGAATCCCAATAATATATTTGAAGTTAGAAAAATCACTCTCTGAGTTCTGTGTTAGTAAAGTATTGGAAGACATTTCTTTCCTCAGATCTAAGAGATATAACTGAATGTTTGATTTGCTTCAGGAGCAGACTCACAATATTAGAAAAGGATCAGTGCATCAGAAAGTCAGCTCTTTCTCACCATAAACATTATCATTCCTTTAGTGCTGAAGATTGGATCAGGGATATTGTCTTAATTGTCACCACGAGAGTATTCAACTTTCTGCTCTCTACAGGCATCTCCTGGGACCAGACTACACTGAAACATATTACTCACCCGGTGGAGAAGAAATCACCACAAGGCCTCAGAACATGGTAGGTCTGAATGCTTTCTGGGACTCTTAACTTGGATCAGCTGCTTACTAAATGAGATTCATAAGTCCAAGGTCAACTTAAAAAAAAAAAATTAAAGGACTTGAAAGCAAAGGGCTCATCTATGACCAAGGAGACAACAGGTGAAAAAAAGAATTATATCTTTTTTATTTTTTACTTTTTTATATCTTTTTTAAAAGATAGAAGTAGTAGGAGGCTCTCAAGTGTTGCATTAAAAAATTTTTTTTAAATATTCATGTATTTGAGTGTGTTGGATCTTTATTGTGGCACACAGGATCTTCACTGCATCATGCTCAGTATTTCGTTGTGGTGCATGGAATCTCTTGTTGTGGTGCATGTGGGATCTTAGTTCCCTGACCAAGGAGTGAACCCACAACCTCTGCATTGCAAGGCAGATTCTTCACCACCGGACCACCAGGGAAGTCCATCAAGTGTTGCATTTTAAGAAGAAACTAAAAATCTATTTTTCTTTAAACCATTTTATAACCAGGTTAGAAATATTCTCTCCTAGGTACTCAAAATGTTATGTCACTATTTACTATTTTCTAGTGGTAAATGCATTTATCCTGAGATTCACAATGGTATATCAATTATTTATATAATAAAAATTTTTATCCAGTTAAACCACCATCATAGAAATCATGCCAAGGTGTAGGTGTCAGACATAGAGGATCAAGGCCAAGAAGAGAATAGGAAGAGAATATAAAAAGGCTCAGTCATATGTATACCTATGGCTGATTCATGTTGATGTTTGGCAGAAACCAACACAATACTGTAAAGCAATTATCCTTCAATTAAAAATAAATAAATTTAATGCTTAAAAAAAGGCTCAGTCATGAGTATTATCAAGCTAGAGCATTTCTCAGAGCCACCCTCCATGGTGTCCCATACATCTATGTCTCTGTAAAAAAAACAAACAAGACTTTGGCCACAGAATGGCCCTTTGTTCCCTTCTTACTTTCTTATTTCAAGGGCAACTGGATTTTTGCTAACATTGACCTTTGGGGAGAGTATCTGGTAAATTAGTTCATACTTAAGTGTGAATGGCCAGTGACATCTTAATGTGGTACCTTTTCCAGTTCATCAGAAAATGTCAATGACATTGTTATAATGAAAATGTTATAATGACAAGGTTTCTTGTAAAGGCAAGAAAGACACAGATGGAATGTCAGACCCTGAAGAAAGTCAGTTTGTTTTGAACAAGAGTTTAGAAAGTCAGTTTGTTTTGAACAAGACTTTAGAAAGTCAGTTTGTTTTGAACAAGAGTTTATTCATTAGCTTTCTCGGACTGTTCTACACAAGTGACCCCCTACTTTGCTTATATGAAGTGCCGACATATCTGAATCTCTGCGTGGTGGTTTAGTCACTCAGTCATGTCCGACTCTTTGTGACCCCATGGACTCTAGCCCACCAAACTCCTCTGTCCATGATATTTCCCAAGCAAGAATACTGGAGTGGGATGCCATTTCCTTCTCCAGGGCATCTTCCCAACCCAGGGATTCAATCCGTGTTTCCTGCTTGGCAGGCAGATTCTTTACCTCTGAGTCACCCAGGAAGCCAGTCTGAATCTCTAGTTATAGACAAACTCTCTGGGCTTTTGAAGCTGATAAAGGGCTACCACTAACACACCAGTTTTTTTAAAAAATGAATTTGACCAGTAAATCACAGGGTCTCAGACATGGTGGTATGACCTCTTGAGGACTCTAGAATTTAGAAAAATGAATATCTCATTTTATTGATATGTAATGCATAGTGGAGCTTGCACAGAGATACTAAATTCTCCAAAGTTGGCACTCAAACATGAGAGTTCCTGGGGAGTGCTATAGACCACATAAAGCAACTGGTTACTTCTCAATTGCATTGTCTACTCTTGCCATGAGTCCATTTAGGTTCAAATTTCCTGGACTTTCCTTTAGTGTGAATTAGTGTCACAAAGACAGCTCAACCACCAAATATGGAGAGTTCCCAAGGTCATAGGTGGAGAGGTCCATAAAACTATTGAGATTCTCCATGTTTTTATTTGTGGGAGCTAGTCTGGTCACAGCCACTATTTGAAGAACATATTCAAGATAAGTTTTCAACACAACTGTGATATATTTATTTTTGTAGTTAAAATTTTTTTCCCCAACCTTAGGAACACTGCTACTATAAAGGACACATCCTAAATGAAAAGGACTCTGTTGCCAGCATTAGTACTTGTGATGGATTGAGGTGAGCTACAACTTGTAAAAATATTAGACATCAAGCACTATTTTGTTGCACAACATTGAGTCTTCCTGGACACCATCTCTTCTTACTATTTTGGCAAAATTGTTTCCATTGATAAAATGCTGAATCTACATGGTTAAAGTGAAGAATAATGTATCATCTTTGCAATTATCATTATCTGCACTTCTAGTCAAAGTTAGAGTTAGCAATTTTTAAACAAGTACTATATTCGGGAGCATGATGACATCTGGACTCACTTTCATATCTATTATCCATCCATCCTTCATTCCCTGAAACCATCTGTTTTATTTTCTTAAAGATGATACCCTGCAGTTGTCACGTTAAACATAATTTTTAGAAGTTTGTGTGTATGAATGTGTTTGTGTATCTGTGTGGTATTTCTGTTTACAAAGGTGATTCTTGCCAGTTAGGGGAAATTTGTAAAGGGTGAGAAAACACAAGTAGGAAAATAACCACCAAAAAGTTTTACCTCTGAGTATCACTATTATTAGTTTTTGATCACGGTTCAGTCTTTTATACAGATAAACAAAAATATCATTTATATTATTGAAATGTAAAGTAAAATGCATGATTCTTTGTCCAACATGAGACATACCACATGACATTAAAAGTCCTTTTCCCATATCATACAGTGCTTTTGTAGATGTAATTTTTTTAACAGCTGTGTTGGCTTTCTAATATTACATCATACAGTTTCACTATGTATCTCTGAATTAATTTTCCTTCTAAGAAGAGAAAATCTTTAAGTTACTACTAGTTCCAACTTGTTCCTCTGGCTGATCTGCTTATCAATCTTTCTCTTTGGAGTTCTTGGTACCTATAAGATATCTACTCCTTTGCAAGGTATCCTCTGAAAGGTATCTACTCCTTTACTACATTCTCCCTTATATTCCTGGGATCTGCCAAGAAATATTTGCTAAATGTGAAAATAAACTATGGACAAATATTTACTGAGCTCATGGTGTAAATTTCAAATTTGGGGGAATAGCTTCATCTTAGTACTTCTTGTTCAGAATGCCCTGGGTAATTAAAATAGGATCTATTTTTGTATTGGCAAACACTGATTATAACTTAAATTAGCAAAAGTTAGCTGCAAGACATATGAATGAAAACCATGTGTGAATCTCTTTTTCTGTTTTGCATATAGGGTTCTCGTTACCATCTTTCTAAAGTCCATATATATGTGTTAGTATACTGTAATGGTCTTTATCTTTCTGACTCTGGGAGAAGGCGAGGGTGGGATGTTTCAAGAGAACAGCATTGAAACATGTATATTATCTAGGGTGAAACAGATCACCAGCCCAGGTTGGGTGCATGAGACAAGTGCTCGGGCCTGGTGGACTGGGAAGACCCAGAGGGATGGGGTGGAGAGGGAGGTGGGAGGGGGGACCGGGATGGGGAATACATGTAAATCCATGGCTAATTCATTTCAATGTATGACAAAAACTACTGTAATGATGTAAAGTAATTAGCCTCCAACTAATAAAAATAAATGGAAAAAAAAAAAGAAAACCATGTGTGAACTTGGCATTGAGGGAGAGGAATACCTTCACTCTGGCCAGCGGGTGCGACTCTGGCAGAAAATCTTGAAATACTAACCTCTGTATCTCACAGGGGCTATTTCACACATCATGATCAAAGATACATGATAAAGCCTCTGAAAAGCACAGACCAAGAAGAACACGCTGTACTCACATACAACCAGGAGGAGCTCAACCCAGCTAATCACACCTGTGGTGTAAGAAACGTTGGCAGGAAACAGGACCTTATTCGAACCTCAAGGTCACTCAAAAGTCCAGAGGTGAGTGCAGTTTCCCACCATCACTCATTTCAACTGACCCAGTAATGATGCATGAAATACTGATGTATCCAGAAGTGGCTTGTGTGAGTAAAGTCCAACCCTTATTTACTTATTCTTCAATTTACTTTTCCTCTGAAGGAAAATAAATAAATAAGTCTTTTTGTAAGCTTTTTAGTCTCTTAGGTTGAAGATATTATCAACAATGTTCTTTCATTCTTCATTAAGGGAGAAGAATTTCTTCATGCTGAGAAATACATTGATCTGTTTTTGGTGCTGGATAATGCTTTTGTGAGTATGAAATGAACACTTCTTGGGTAGTTAAGTCAGCTTTTCAGTTTTCTTATAAAGCAGACGCAAACAATAAACTATTCTCATGAAAAATACAAAGCCTGTCCACATGATTGTCTTATCTGTTCTACCTACCATGTCAGAAATAGTTTTCATTCACTCCCGCTCTTTTAAAATTCATCTGCTGCCAAAATATTCAGATATGGGAAATATACTAATGGCAGATAGCAACAGTAAAACAACCACAATAACTAGAAACATAAAGGAGTTGGTTATTAATATATTTTTAAAGTTCTCACTATAACATGTAAATATAAAATAGATATAAAATTATATATAATTTATTAATTACATTTATATATTATAATATATGAGAATTTATGCTTCATAACCAAATTTTAAAAATATTAAATTGGCTTGAAAACATTAAAACTAATATGATTTATTCAACTTAATTTGAATTGATATTTTATATGAATGCTTAAGTTTTCTTCTGCAAAAAACGTCTTACATTTGAAATAGAATTTGTTAAAACAGATTCTTAGATAAGGTAGATGTGGAATGAACAGACATTTATTTACATTGAAATGTGTAAGTTTTCTTAAACTATAAAATCCCCATCAGCTTTCTCACTTTAATTTGTGATTTTAATTACTCTTTGCATTTTGTATTTTACAGTATAAGATGTATAATGAGAATATAACTGTGATAAGAAGCCTTGTGTTTGATGTGATAAACCTGCTCAATGTGGTAAGATATTTGTTCTATAAACATGTTTCCACATAGGAGTTTAGGGCTTTTCTATATTTTAAGCAAATAAGAATTGGGAGAATTACAATGGCTTAAAGTCCGCAGTTTGGGGAAATTTGGTAGACAAGGATTAACATCAAGGTAAAATCACTGTATACTGTAGGAAAGGCAACTTCTAGGTTTTCTGTTTTCAAAATGGGATACATTTATCCACCACTTACAATCGATGAAATATCTAAAAAAAAAAAAAAACTAAAATCTTTCCTACTGTATAGCACGGGGAACTACATATCTAGGATAAACCATAATGGAAAAGAATATATATGTTAGATAGTTAGAATAGAAAACAGGAGTCCAGAATGGTGGTGGCTAAAAGAGAAGGAAGGGAAAAGCCTGCAAAAATACAACAAAGGAAGGTCCGAGGACCGGAGTGAGGACCTCAGGTACAACAAACAACACTCCTGGCTAGCCCCATTTATATAGGACAGGCCCGGGAGTGGGGGGTGGGGAAAACATATAAAAAGAGAAGCCAAAGGGCCGGGGGTCTCTCTCTCTCTTTCTCCCGCATGCTGGGACGATCTTCTCTTCGCGTCTTTGAGTCAACAGGCCCTCATGCCTCGAAGATGGATTTTCCTGCTAGTATCTAAATAAATCAGAGCTGTAACACGGAGCTGTAATACTGATTTGTCCAAGAGCTATAGCACAATGTGTTCAAGACCTGAGAGCTATAACACAGTATGTCCAAGACCCTAAAGCTGTGAAGCACAGAGGGCTTTAATGTCCGTCACTCCAAATCTTTGTTGTGACGAGACAAAACCGAGGAGCGGACACTTGCTTGACATCTATATATATACATATGTACAACTGAAAACAAACAAAACTCAGTCACTTTGCTCTACAGCAGATATTAACATAACATTGTAAATTGACTATACTTCAGTAATTTTAAAAAAAAAGAAATATCAAACATTTTCATGATGAAAAATGTTCTTCCCTCAGATTTACAATACCATAGATGTTCAAGTGTCCTTGGTAGGTATGGAAATATGGTCTAATGGTGACAAGATAAAGGTGGTACACAACACACGTGCCACCTTTAACAAATTTCTGAATTGGCATCGTTATAACCTGGGAAAAATGAAGACCCATGACCATGCTCAGCTACTCAGGTAAGCACACACTGGCCAGGGCCAGGACTATTTTGACAGAGAAGATAGTTATCCCAAAGGTTTCTTGGCAGAGATTCCTGTTCAATTCTACCTCCCTGTTCAGTGATCAGAGAGCCTAAAGTTCTGTTATTAGCAACTCACCTGTGGGATTGTTGCAGACCCATGTCAGATCACTAAAATTGACTCTTGGATGTGGGATAACCATCCGTGGTCATTCTAATGTTATAGAATAGCAGTGGCTCTTCTGAGACCTCATGAATATGAAAAGGGTAGGGGAACTAGGGAAGCTCAGACAGAGTTGACAGAAGCTGATGGTTCAAAAGACTCAGATTGTGACAACATACCTGTAATTCTCACACAGTGGAGTTGGCTTCAAAGATCGAATTACAGGACTGGCGACCTCGAATTCCTTGTGCACCCCATCGTCCGTTGCTGTTATTGAGGTTTGTAAACATATAGCTCCTTGAGGTTCTACAACCTCTATGAAGACAAGCACAATGTCTTATTTAGAGTTAGCACAATGTCCATTTGCTGAATCAGTAAATAAAAGTAGAAATGAACCTGAATTAGTAGATCACTACACTGAGGATTCCTTGGATTATGAAACAGAATATCTCTTTACATTGACCTTCCCAGAGGTTTCACTCTTTAGTTGATGTTAGGGAGTTAGAAGAGGAAGATCAGAACAAAAACAGAATCCAGGTGCCCTCTGGGATTTGAGGTAACTTCAAATTAATCGTCGCTAGTATCTATGGCCAGGGAGGTTGGACAAAGTGCATGTCAGTGTCACACGGTCAAACACTGTCAGTGTCATAGTCATCATAGCAATATTTTTTAGAATTGAGTACATAGTGTGATATCATTTAGTACTTCCCATGCAGAATGAGCTTCCCTGGTGGCTTGTTGGTAAAGAATCCACTCACCAGTGTGGGAGATGAGGGTTCTATCCCTGGGTTGGGATGATCCCTTGGAGAAGGAAATGGTAACCCACTCCAGTATTCTTGTCTGGGAAATGCCATAGACAGAGGAGCCTACATGGCTACAGTCCATGGAGTCACAAAAGAGTCAGACTCCACTTAGCAACTAAACAACAATGAATAATGGAATTATCATGATTTAACCATGGTTTATCAATAATCCATATTGATTGAGCATTGGCTCAGCAGTTAGATTTCCAATAGCAAATCATTTCAAATGTTTACAATGTCATTTTTGATGTTTGAAGTGTAAACATTTTTAATGCTTACAATGTCCTATCAGTTGTCTCAAATGTCTACAATTTACAATAACCAATGACAGGGGAAGAAGCTCAATGATTCAATAATTTTCATGTCAAACTATTATTCTTTGTAATACCAAACATCAATGATAATGAACAAATAATTGAATAAATTCACAAATAATAGATATTTCTATTTTTTTTTTCACCAGGGTAAGAGAAAGAACAGTGTCTCTCTTGTAGGAGTGATGTCACATGAATTGGGTCATGTCCTCGGTATGGCTGATGTTCCATATCACACCAAGTGTCCCTCTGGGAGTTGTGTGATGAATGAATATCTAAGGTGAGACCTTGGCACTCTAGAGAAAAAAAAAAAATTCTTAGATCTTAAAGAATTCAGATACAGCCTGTATAAATGGATGAACATTTTTTTAATGTAATGGCTGTGTTTCCAGCTAATCCATGCTCTAGCTTCTTGATGTACAGGATTTACCAGCTAGCAGAACTCATTATTTAAGATTTCCAAATATGCCAAGGTAGAGTTTATAAGTATAGTGACCATGTTACTCTAACTTAAAATAATTTTAGCTTAAAACAGTCTTTTCTAAAAATATTTATATAATTAAGATGAGAACATCCTTATAAATCCTTATCACCAATCCATTCATTTTTATGTTATTAATGTTGCCTTTTAATTCTAAACACTTTGCAAGGATTTGAGATAGAAAAATCAATAAACATATCTTACTGTTGAAGTGTTCATAAATAGGAAGTTAAGTATCTCCACTGAACCTCTAAGTCTGCGATTATTTCCTTTCACTATTCATTGTTATTATCACTTACCTCTCAGCCCTCAATAGTGAGATGAGTGAATGATAACAAATGGTGAAGCTCATCACTGCTGCCATTTAGGGCAGAATTAAATCTGCACAGGAATTGAAATTCTTCAAACTCCTACAACTGGGTATCCAGAAAAAGAATTTCCCAATGAGAGTAGTATTCATGCTCTTTCACACTCCACATATAACATGGTTCATTTATACTAAATTTGGAATTTTTGTTGAACTAGTTAGACAAGTCACATTCTTATGTTAACTTATCACTGTATAAAACATGGTATTTCTCATTTTTCTTCTGGTTACAGTTCAAAATTCCCAAAGGATTTCAGTACACGCAGTCTCTCACAATTTAAAAAATACATGCTATCTCAAAAGCCAAGATGCCTACTGCAAGCACTGGTTCCTAAAAATATGACAAGACCAGTGTGTGGGAACCAACTTGTGGAAGTAGGTGAAGACTGTGATTGTGGCTCTCCTGAGGTATGCAAATATCCGTGGTCTAAAAAATTTACTAGAGAGTTGCTGTGGCTTTCTTTTTAGTTTTAATTAGAGTATAATTGCTTTACAATGTTGTGTCAGTTTCTGAAGCACAACGTGAATCAGCTATACGTATACATATATCATTTCCCTCTTGCACCTGCCTCCACTCCCAACCACATCCCACACCTCTAGGTCATTACAGAACACCAGGCTGGGCTCCCTGTGCTGTTTGTAATGTTTTCTTTTTTTCTCTTTTAAAATGCACTTTTGGAAGTTCTTTCTAAAGACAAACTTGGCATCTTAGTAAAAAGTAGGCTTGTATTTTTTTCATTACTGCCTTTAGTCATCTTTTGAAAAGCATTTTGAAAGCCAGGATATGTTTATTATATGATTTTATAAGAACTTCAATGAAAAGAAGTAAATCATTAAGGTGAAAAGACAACTCTCAGAATGCAAAAAATATATATATTTGCAAAAGAAACAAGCAACAAGGGACTAATCTCCCTTGCGGTACAAACAGTTCATGCAGCTCAATGTAAAAAAAGAAAAAAATCCAATCTAAAAATAGGTAGGAGACCTTAATAGACATTTCTCCAAAGAAGACATACAGATGGTTAGAAAATACATGAAAAGATGCTCAACATCACTAAATATTAGAGAAATGCAAATCAAAACTATAATGAGCTATCACCTCATACTGCTCAGAATGGTCATCATTAAAAAATCTACAAACAATAAATACTGGAGAGGATGTGGAAAAAAGGTAACGCTCCTACAGTGATGGTGAGAATGTAAATTGGTACAATCACTGTTGAGAATAGTATGGAGGTTCCTGAAAAATCTAAACATAGCGTAGTGTGTGTGTGCTAAGTCGCTTCAGTGGCATCTGACCCTTTGTGACCATATAGACCATAGTCTACCAGGCTCCTCTGTCCATGAAATTCTCCAGGCAAAAGTACTGGAGTGGGTTGCCATGACCTTCTTCAGGGTATTTTCCCAACCCAGAGATTGAACCCATGTCTTTTAGTCTCCTGTATTGGCAGGCAGGTTTTTTTTTTACCACTAGCACCACTTGGGAAGCCCCCAGAGCTACCATATGCCCCAGCAATCCCACTCCTGAGCATGTATCTGGAGAAATCCATAATTCAAAAAGATACAAGCATCATGTTGATTGCAGCCCTATTTACAATAGCCAGGATTTGGAAGCAACTTAAATGTCCATTGGTGGAGGAATAAAGAAAATGCGGTACATATATATACAATGGAATATTACTCAGCCACAAAAAGGAACAAAATTGTACAATTTGCAGATATGTGGATGAACCTAGAGACTGTCATACAGAGTGAAGTAAGTCAGAAAGAGAAAAACAAATATCATATGGTTTCACTTACATGTGGAATCTAGCAAAGTGGTACAGATGAACTTATTTGCAAAGCAGAAACAGAGACACAGACATAGAGAATGGATGTATGGATTCTAGGGGCTAGGGATGTAGAATGAACTGGGAGATTGGGACTGACATATATACACGATTGATATTATGTATAAAATAGATAACTGCTGCTGCTGCTGCTAAGTCGCTTCAGTCGTGTCTGACTCTGTGCGTCCCTATGGACAGCAGCCCACCAGGCTCCTCCGTCCACAGGATTCTCCAGACAAGAATACTGGAGTGGGTTGCCATATCCTTCTCCAGAAAATAGATAACTATTGAGAACCTATTTTCTAGCACAGGGAACTCTGTAGTGCTCTGTGGTGTCCTAAATAGGAAGGAAATCCAATAAAAAGGAGATATACATGAGCATATAGTTTCTACTATACTCTACTTTGCTGTACAGTAGAAACTAGCACATTATAAATCAAGTGTGCTTCCTTTTAAAAAGTAAATCCTTAACTATATATGTCACTATGAACTTTCTTAAATGTATTAGTCAAATTTCTAAATCACATAAACTCCCAGCTGATCGTTTTGTTGGACTATAACAATTAAAAAGGGTTTCCCATGTGGCTCAGTGGTAAAGAATCTGCCTACCAATGCAGGAGATGTGGGTTATATCTCTGGGTCTGGAAGAGCCCCTGAAGGAGGAAATGGCACCCCACTCCAGTATTCTTGCCTGGAAAATCCCAGGCAAGACAGAGAGAAGCCTGGTGGGCTACAGTCCATGGGGCTGCCAAGAGTAAGACACAACTGAGAGACTAAGTACTTACACACAGATGCAACAATTGAAAATCCAGAAGTAAATTCTCTCCATTGAGACAGTCATCAAGCAGTGTGTAAGTGAGAAGGAGAAATTAAAACATAAAGAGGAAAAAGAAAAATCACACAAGTGTGTAGAAGATGGATTAACATAGAACATTTAAGATAATTACTGTACTTCTTCTAATCTTCATAAAAATTTGACCCCTTCAAGACATCAGTGTATCCTAAAGAATATTTCTGATAGAATGTTCATTAGCAGTCTCAGAGTAGGTTTCTAAAAGAAGTGTTCTATTTAAAAAAATGAATTATGATTTGAAGAGACTTTTTACACATCAATCTGCTGAATGCTTCTATAATCACAATCTCCTTTATTACTCACAACAAACCTACAAAAGAGGTTTATTTTTCCAATTTAGAAAAGAAGTGAGACTCAGAAAAGCTAAGTAACTAGATCCAAGGATACAAAGCTAGTAATTGGTGAAACCTGTTGCAACCCAAGATTTATCCATTACTTTAAGAGGCTTTGTGACAATGAGGAAGACATATAATCTTTCTATGCTATTTATTTATTCAGAAATTTTAAGCTATTGAGGGCTTCCCTGGTGGCTGAGTGGTAAAGAATTTGCCTGTCAATGCAGAAGACATGGGTTTCATTCATGATCTGAGAAGATCCCATGAAGCAACTAAGCCTGTATATCAAAAAAGAGAAAACAAAACAAAACAAATTTTAAGTTATTAAATTATAAATTTACATGGTGCAACTTAATTATTCACAAAGAATAATGTAAATATTCTGTTAATTATAATGAGATATGAAATTATACAAATGATTTGATACTCTACAATAATTTAGATTTATGTTTATCTCATTCTTACTTCTTATATTCCCATATGATTTCTCAAGTGGAGGATAACTGAAGTTGTTCACAATCCTTGGTATTTCTAATTTCAACAGGTAAAATGCTGCATGTTCAGTACACATACACACACACAAGAGAGAGAGGGAAGAGAACAGGAGAGAAGAAACTACTATTATATGGTGTTTAATATCTTCTTTTCTTTAACTACATCATTCACTTCCCATATTCTTTCCATATCTTGTTGATTTTCTTCTTCTTTAGCTGAATGAAATTAGAGATCTAGAGAGTCCAAACTTAACAACAAGTGAGTTTTTAAATAGCTGTTTTTTACCTAAAAAGTAGTATATATACTTTATACAGAATTCTTTAATGAAAAATCCATTTTCTAGGATCTTATATGCTATTTTATTATTTTTAGTAAAAATAATCATTCTTTCTGTCTAGATATTATCAAACAGCCATAATGCTATTTTAATGATTCTAACTATGTAACACACTTTAATATCAGTAATGGAAAATTTCTTCACTGGCATTTTTTTGCAGTGTTTTCATAGTAATTATTCAGTGTTCATTCTTCCATAAATATCTTGATTTTATTTATTTATTTTTTTGTCAATTTACCTGCAAATACAGTTTGATATTCATAAAATTCACAATTCACTCTAAAGGCCACTGGCATTTTCACAACATTAAGTATTGTCTTAAAAGATAAGTTGCCTTCAAAATTTTTCATAGAAGTTAAATAAAAAATTCTGCATGCAGTTCTTGCACATTTTGAAAGTTTATTTTGGAATATTTTCAACTTTTTTCTTTTTTCTGTTAGTACATATAATGTTTACTTTTTATTTAGGTTCTCATTTATTACTCTTCTTGACATTATTTTATTATTATCTTAAACAGCTATCTTAGTGACTAACTCAATGTTTTTGGAAATTGATCCTCTTTTTTTTTCTAGCTCAAGAATTTTATCATGTATAAACAGTGAAAACATAATTATTATTATTTATAGATAATAATTATTATATATCTGATTATTATGCTTTAATATGTTTTTGTCTCATAGCATTTATCAGAATTAACATAATAATATAGCATAAAAATAATTCTTGTTTTATACTTTATTGGATGTGCTTTTACTATTCACCAGATAGATTTTCTTTATCATGATGATCAGAACACTGTTCATAGTCCACTAACACTTGTTAATTAAATAATGCTTGCCTAATTTGTACTAATTTTTGCCATCTATCACATTAGTATTAGTTGTTTTCTTCCCTCAGTCTTTTAATATAATAGATAATGTTACTTTATTTTGTACTGTTGAGACACCCTTGCATTTTTGGTGACAAAATATTCTGCAGAGTTTTTAATGGAGAATTATTATATTAATAGGTTAGTGTTTGACTAATATTTTACTCAAGTTTTTGCATTAATACTCACAAATGAGAATGGTATGATGTATATATTCATTACCAGTTCTCATTATCAGGATTATGCAGGCTTGGTAAAATGAATTGAGAATTAAAAAAATTTTTTTCTCTATCATCAAGCTGTTTGAAGAGAAAGAAATATTCTCCCTTTAATTTCAAATTAACATACATATAATATCATCTAGGTGAATTTATTTGGGAAAGTTCTTGGATTATTCTATTTTTGTCCTTTTAAGAGATGGTTTTCATTACTCAGCATTTTTTTTCTATCATTAAATTTCCTTGGTCATTTCAACTCGAATTTGTATAGCAGAGTAATTTAGTTTAAAAAGTGAAATTTCATTGTCATCTTACACCAGAATTCTGTGCACCTAGTCTATAGGGGAAAAAATGCTTGAACTCACTTTTGCATTGTGTGTGTGTGTTTTAAAGGAATGTACCAATCCTTGCTGTGAAGCCATGACCTGTATGTTAGTAAATTGTGGAAAAGAGACTGACGAGTAACATGTAAGATTTTACTTTTCTTTCTTTGTTCTCAAACATTTTCATATTTTTGTGTGATTTAAGATAGATATGACACTGAGTTCAACAAAGCTAAAATTCAATTTATTTCATTTTACATTTTTTAAATGACTCAAATTCAGAAATTAAAAAAAGCCACCATTATGAACATAAATAGCTCAGAGTTGTGTATGTACTAATACACTAAGGAGAAAAGTAGCTATTTTGTCATCATGAAACTAGGACTTCTGAAAACTGTGCTAAAATTGTATGAAATTCTGAAAGGTAATAATGAGTTTAATGTAAAGTAATATGACAAACAGAAAAGTGAAAGTGAAAGTTGCTCAGTCATGTCCAACTCTTTGCAATTCCATGGACTATACACTCCCTGGAAATCTCCAAGCCAGAATATTGGAGTGGGTAGATCCAGGGGATCTTCCTGACCCAGGGATCAAACCCAGATCTCCTGCATTGCAGGTGGATTCTTTACCAGCTGAACCATGAGGGAAGCAAAGACCTCAATTGATGAGCAAATTCTTTTCTTGTTTAAGTGCTGATCATTGAAATTGAAAGGTAGTCAGAAGATAAAATTTAACAATGCAGTACAAGATTTGACAATTTTATTCCTTTTAAAATGCCTAGGGAATTCCCTGGTGGTCCAGTAGCTAAGACACAGTACTTTCACTGCCATAGGCCTGGGTTCGAACTCTGGTCTGGGAACTAATGTCCTATAAACTGTGTGGCATGGCCAAAATATTTTTTTTTAATAAACAAAATGCTTCAATAATGCATAATTCATGGATTATTTTTGTATTTTACACTCCTATATAAGTTTGGCTAGGAAACCTAATTGTTTTTGATATATTCCTTTCAGTAAAAACTAGTCTCCAAATCTGAAGATGGCAACAACAACCAAAAGTTATGAAAAGGAGAAAGACTTGGGACAAATTATTAATATATGAATGGAGTTATTCTTACCAACTACCACCCTTTCCTGAATTTCCTGAATCTTTTTTTGGATTTTTTAAAAAATTATTTATTTTAATTGGAAGCTAATTCCTTTACAATATTGTGGTGGTTTTTGCCATATATTCACAGGAATCAGCCATGGGTGTACATGTGTTCCCCATCCTGAACCTCCCTCCCACCTCCCTACCCATCCCACCCCTCAGGGTCACCCTAGTGCACCAGCCCTGAGAACCCTGTCTCATGCATCAAACCTGGACTGGAAACCTATTTCATATATGATAATATACACGTTTCAATGTTATTCTCTCAAATCATCCCACCCTTGCCTTCTCCCACAGAGTCCAAAATTCTGTTCTTTACATCTATGTCTCTTTTGCTGTCTTGCATATAGGGTCATCCTTACCGTCTTTCTGAATTCCATATATATACGTTAGTATACTGTATTGGTGTTTTTCTCTATGACTTACTTCAGTCTGTATAATAGGCTCCAGTTTCATCCACCTCATTAGAATGGATTCAAATGCATTCTTTTTAATAGCCGAGTGGTATTACATTGTGTATATGTACCACAGCTTTCTTATCCATTCATCTACTGATGGACATCTAGGTTGCTTCCATGTCCTGGCTATTGTAAACAGTGCTGTGATGAACATTGGGGTACACGTGTCTCTTTCAATTCTGGTTTCCTCAGTGTGTATGCCCAGCAGTGGGATTGCTGGGTCATATGGCAGTTCTATTTCCAGTTTTTTAAGGAATCTCCACACTGTTCTCCATAGTGGCTGTACTAGTTTGCATTCCCACCAACAGTGTAAGAGGGTTCCCTTTTCTCCACACCCTCTCCAGCATTTATTGCTTGTAGACTTTTGGATAGCAGCCATCCTGACTGGCGTGTAATGGTACCTCATTGTGGTTTTGATTTGCATTTCTCTGATAATGAGTGATGTTGAGCATCTTTTCATGTGTTTGTTAGCCATCTGTATGTCTTCTTTGGAGAAATGTCTGTTTAGTTCTTTGGCCCATTTTTTGATTGGGTCATTTATTTTTCTGGAGTTGAGCTGGAGGAGTTGCTTGTATATTTTTGAGATTAATCCTTTGTCTGTTGCTTCGTTTGCTATTATTTTCTCCCAATCTGAGGGCTGTCTTTTCACCTTGCTTATAGTTTCCTTTGTTGTGCAAAAGCTTTTAAGTTTCATTAGGTCCCATTTGTTTATTTTTGCTTTTATTTCTAAAATTCTGGGATGTGGGTCATAGAGGATCCTGCTGTGATTTATGTCGGAGAGTGTTTTGCCTATGTTCTCCTCTAGGAGTTTTATAGTTTCTGGTCTTACATTTAGATCTTTAATCCATTTTGAGTTTATTTTTGTGTATGGTGTTAGAAAGTGTTCTAGTTTCATTCTTTTACAGGTGGTTGACCAGTTTTCCCAGCACCACTTGTTAAAGAGGTTGTCTTTTTTCCATTGTATATCCTTGCCTCCTTTGTCGAAGATAAGGTGACCATAGGTTCGTGGATTTATCTCTGGGCTTTCTATTCTGTTCCATTGATCTATATTTCTGTCTTTGTGCCAGTACCATACTGTCTTGATGACTGTGGCTTTGTAGTATAGTCTGAAGTCAGGCAGGTTGATTCCTCCAGTTCCATTCTTCATTCTCAAGATTGCTTTGGCTATTCGAGGTTTTTTGTATTTCCATACAAATTGTGAAATGATTTGTTCTAGTTCTGTGAAAAATACAATTGGTAGCTTGATAGGGATTGCATTGAATCTATAGATTGCTTTGCATAGTATACTCATTTTCACTATATTGATTCTTCGAATCCATGAACACTGTATATTTCTCCATCTATTTGTATCATCTTTGATTTCTTTCATCAGTGTTTTACAGTTTTCTATATATAGGTCTTTTGTTTCTTTAGGTAGACTTATTCCTAAGTATTTTAACCTTTTCATTGTAATGGTGAATGGAATTCTTTCCTTAATTTCTCTTTCTGTTTTCTCATTGTTAGTGTATCAGAATGCAAGGGATTTCTGTGTGTTAATTTTATATCCTGCAACTTTACTATACTCATTGATTAGCTCTTGTAATTTTCTGGTAGAGTCTTTAGGGTTTTCTATGTAGAGGATCCTGTCATCTGCAAACAGTGAGAGTTTCACTTCTTCTTTTCCAATCCGGATTCCTTTTGTATCTTTTTCTGTTCTGATTGCCGTGGCCAAAACTTCCAAAACTATGTTGAATAGTAGTGGTGAGAGTGGGTACCCTTGTCTTGTTCCTGACTTTAAGGGAAATGCTTTCCATTTTTCACCATTGAGGGTAATGTTTGCTGTGGGTTTGTCATATACAGCTTTTATTATGTTGAGTTATGTTTCTTCTATTCCTGCTTTGGAGGGTTTTTATCATAAATGGGTATTGAATTTTATAAAAAGCTTTCTCTGCATCTATTGAGATAATCATATGGTTTTTATCTTTCAATTTGTTAATGTGGTATATTTCATTGATTGATTTGTGGATATTAAAGAATCCTTGCATCCCTGGGATAAAGCCCACTTGGTCATGATGTATGATCTTTTTGATATGTTGTTGGATTCTGTTTGCTAAAATTTTCTTAAGGATTTTGCATCTATATTCATCAGTGATATTGGCCTGTAGTTTTCTTTTGGGGGGGGGCATCTTTGTCTGGTTTTGGTATTAGGGTGATGGTAGCCTCATAGAATGAATTTGGAAGTTTACCTTTCTCTGCAATTTTCTGGAAGAGTTTGAGTAGGATAGGTGTTATCTCTTCTCTAATTTTTTGGTAGAATTCAGCTGTGAAGCCATCTAGTCCTGGGATTTTGTTTGTTGGAAGATTTTTTATTACTGTTTCAATTTCTGTGCTTGTGATGGGTCTGTTAAGATTTTCTATTTCTTCCTGGCTCAGTTTTGGAAAATTATACTTTTCTAAGGATTGGTCCATTTCTTTCAAGTTGTCCATTTTATTGGCATATAGTTGCTGATAATAATCTCTCACGATCCTTTATATTTCTGTGTTTTCTATTGTGATTTCTCCATTTTCATTTCTAATTGTGTTGACTTTCTTTTCTGGAATTGAACTTGTAGAGAGATTATAAAGGGAATAATCAACTCAAAGTGGCTTCCCTGTCAGTGGTAAAGAGTTTGCCTGCCAATTTAGGAGACAAGGGATATGAGTTAGATCCCTGAGTCTGGAAGATCCCCTGGAGGAGGAAATGGCAACCCACTCCAGTATTCTTTCTCGGAGAATTCTATGAACAGAGGCACCTGGCAGGCTACAGTCCATGGAGTTGCAAGAGTCAGACAAGACTTAGTGATTCAACCACCGCCACCCAATCAACTGAAAGATCACTGACTATCACTTCCTCAAGCAAAGGACCAGAAAGGTCATACGATGAGAAGTATCACTCATTCAGGGCTTCTGAATTCATGCCTGGAAAATTCCAAGGACAGAGGAGCCTGGCAGGCTATAGTCCATGGGGTCACAAAGAGTCAGACACAACTAGTTACTGAGCATACACATTACTCATTCTCTCACCAAGCATCATTTCACTCAGTTTTACCCCTAGTGTGATCCACTCTACAGGAAATACTAGAAATTATTCCCATCTTCTTCCTTTGTCACAGAGATCAGAAGCATATCATCACAAACCATAACCTTTCAATTTTTTTTATGGGCTTGGAATGATAGGTGGACATGCCCCATTACTGGCCAATATTGGCAATTTAGTGTCATGGAAAGAAAACTGAACTTTGACTCAGGATACTTTGATTATTTTCTCAGGTTAGGTCCAAACTACCTGTAGCACTTAAAGTCAAATTATTTACTTCTTTTTCTCACCTGTAAAATGAAGCTAATGGTATTGTCTTTCAGTAGGGTTGTTAGAATTATTTAAATTCTATAAATATTTGCTATTATTACATAATTTTTATAATTTATAATGACCATGGCTTCCAATTTTTTCTTTTGATCAGAGGATGAATCCAAACACCTACTTCATTGTGATGCTACTTGCCAGGACAAGAATCAAGAAATCCAAACATGCCAGGAATCTTGCATAGTCTTACCATCGTCCTTAACTGTATTTTGCTTTTCACTTGTCCTTATACTTCCTGTAATTTTACCTCTCCAGTCAACAAGTCAATAGATATATTTAGGGAAGCTGCCTGTTTTCTAAGTCTGATCTTTAAATGTATTTTTTAAGGATCTTGAAGCTATTGTTTAGCTCTTTTCTTTGGAGAACAAAAGAAATGAGTCTTTGACTAAAACACTGCAAAATGATCTTCTGAATTATGCAAGCTGAATTCAGAATTGTATAGTGGCAAGTGACTTGTGTTTTAATCTCTCTTTTATTTTAGTTTAGTCCATGAAAAAATAAGATCATCTGATGAGTGTAATCTTTGGTGGAAGAAAGGAAAGCAAAGTTCATGTGTCATTTCTTACTCTTCAGTATTCTGCTTTCCTTGCTCTTAGATGTGTGATATTTTTCTATATCATGTCAAGGCTAATGAAGTTTTTTTTTTATTTTATCATGTATAACCCTTTCACCATCACATTTAACATTAATTTGAAGAACTATGTATTGCTTACACTGTCATTTAGCCACCAAGAATTGCTTCATTCATCTATTGGCTTAATGAACCACAGCGTCAGTGAATTAAAGCACAACTTTTTGAGGAATTTGTTTGTGTGGTCATTTTTGAAAATGAATATTTTCCAGCTTTGTTGTAGGTCTGTGTTAGATGATAAAGTCTCACATAATTAGACAATTTCCCCTTTGGTCATTTGACAGCACTGCCACAGAGAGCCAGGAATTGTGATGGAGAGGAGAAAGGTCATGTTCTCTTTTAATGCCCAGAATGAAATGACTTGAGGCCAGTCACACAAGACTAGTCTTCTTTTTGAAGTTTCTCTAAATTGTTTTTTAACAATTGTCCAAATTTCCACTGATGCCTGGGTTAGGAGAACAAGAACTTAGACATACTGGTAAAAGTAAGCAACTTTCTGAAACAAGCAACTTTCCAGAAAGCACCCCTTCCTTGCCTCCATGTCGTTGGTGGCTTTGGCTCTTCAAGTGTTACAGTGGCACTGCATGTCTGATGTTACTGGTGGCCATGGTGTAGCCATGACTTGTCAATATCCCTGCCCACTGTGTGTGTGTGTGTGTCCACGTGTGTGCACATGTGCATGTGTGTGTGCATGTGTGTGCACGTGTATGTGCATGCATGTGTGTGTGTTTATTTGCTCAGTCATGTCTGACTCTTTTGTGACCCCATGGACTGCAATACACCAAGTTCTTCTGTCCATGGGATTGTCCAGGCAAGAACACTGGAGTGGGTTGCCATTTTCTTCTCCAGGGGACCTTCCTGACCCAGGAGCGGAACCCATGTCTCCTGCATCTCCTGCATTGACAGGTAGATTCTTTACCACTGAGACACTTGGAAACTCCACCCAAATCTTCCAAGGACAAAGGGCTTCTTTAGGCTTATTTCTCCTATACTTCATGAACAGATAGAGGTTTCTTATAATAAAACAACTGGCACTACAGGGATTTAGCAAGTAGCATGCTGGCGACAGCTAGGATTGGTTCATGAGTGTCAACTGTTAAAATGATCAGGATGATGAACTGGTTGTGAAACAACCATTACTAAAAAACCAGCCTGTATAAATTTTCAATTAAAAATAATATTAAAACTTAGAGTTCTGCAGAGAAGCTTAACAAATTATATTAAATAAATATATTTAATAAATTATATCAAAACTAAGAGTTCTTCAGAGATACATCTTATATTTATATTTATTCACTCTGTGATATAGATAAATAGAGAGAGAGCTATATAGATATGTATCTATCTACCTATCTAAATCACAGAGTGAGCAAATGTAAATACAGTTAAGCATGGGACTTCTCTGTGGATTTCTAATATAAGTTTTAATAGATAAATATACATGTCTGTTTCTATCATCTGTCTATCTATATATCTATGTAAGAAAAAGAGAGATTGAATTTTGTTAGGAGAAATTGGCTCACAATTGTGAAAGCTGAGAAATACCCATATCTGCTATTTGCAAGTTGGAGACCCAGGAGAGCTGGTGGTGTCCAAGGGCAGGAGAAAATGAGGTGAGATGTACCAGTTTGAGCAGGCAGGCAAGAAGGAAAAAAGCAAAGATTCTTCTTTTCACCAACTTTTGTTCTACTCAGATCCTCAACAGATTAGATGATTCCCACCTACCCCGAGGAGGAAAATCTGCTTTACTGGGCCCAATGGCATCCTGTGGTGCAGTCAAGTTGACCCATAAAGTTAGCCATCACACTAAAAATTTTATATAAACAGAATCATACTGCAAAAAAAAAAAAAGACATCATTTTGGAAAAAAAAAAAGTCCATATAGTCAAAGCTATGGTTTTTCCAGTAGTCACGTATGGATGCAAGAGTTGAATCATAAAGAAGACTGAGCCCCAAAGAATTGATGCTCTTGAACTGTGGTGTTAGAGAAGACTCTTGAGAGTCCCTCAGACTGCAAGGAGATCAAATCAGTCAATCCTAAAGGAAATCAACCCTAAACATTCATTGGAAGGACTGTAGCTGAAGCTGAAGCTTCAACACTTTGGCCACCTGATACGAATATCCAACTTATTGGAAAAGACTCTGATGCTGGGAAAGACGGAAGGCAAAAGGAGAAGTGGGCAGCAGAGGATGAGATGGTTAGTCAGCATCACCGACTTAATGGAGCAATGAACTTGAGCAAGCTCTGGGAGACAGTGGAGGACAGAGGAGCCTGGTGTGCTATGGCCCCTGGTTACCAGGGAATAAGCAGGAGGGAATAAATCAGGAGACTGGGGTTGACACATACACACTGCTGCTGCTGCTGCTGCTAAGTCGCTTCAGTCGTGTCCAACTCTGTATGACCCCCCAGATGGCAGCCCACCAGGCTCCCCCATCCCTGGGGTTCTCCAGGCAAGAACACTGGAGTGGGGTGCCATTGCCTTCTCCCATTGTATAGTACAGAGAGTGCTACTGAACAGTCTGTAATGGCCTATACGGGTAAAGATACTAAAAATGAGTTCATATAATCACACAGGGATTCACTTTGCTCTACTCCTGAAACCAACAAAGCATTCTAAATTAACTACGCTTCAATAAAAAAATAAAAAATAAATACATAAGTTTAGAAACCAAAAAATATATTAAAACAAAAAAGCTCACCAGAAGGAAAAGGTAAGGGTCAGGGAGAACAGAATGGAAAGAAATCTGCTGTCCTCAATGGATGTATCAGAAAATACCCTTTCTCAGTGGCTGCCAGTCTGTTCCAGATGACTGCAGAAATCATTCTTCATTTTGACCATCCAGCATCAAAATATCAGAAACATAGAACACTACTCACATCTATGGGCTTCCCTGGGGGCTCAGAGGGTAAAGCATCTGCCTGCAATGCAGGAGACCTGGGTTCGATCCCCGGATAGCGAAGATACCCTAGAGAAGGAAATGGCAACCCACTCCACTACTCCTGCCTGGAAAATTCCATGGGCAGAGGAGCCTGGTAGGCTACTGTCCATGGGATCTCAAAGTGTCACATATGATTGAGCAGCTTCACTTCACTCACATCTATTCAGCTTTGCTCATCCCCAAATTTACCACCACCTATGGATAGGCTAAAATGGACAGAACTTTGAATTTCTGAAATCAAACTAATCAGGATTGTGGTAACTTCCTAGACAAAAGGCAATAATCAAAGAAAGATAAACCTGTAAAAGGGAGAGAGTCTTCCCATACCCATCTTGGGGGTGAAAAAAAGAAGAGTGCTGTTTTCTCAGAGAGAATAATGTCCATGGGATTTAAGAAAGCAGTGAGAAATAAGGATCAAGGGACAGATAAGAGGACACCGAGAGGGAGAATCAAGGTTTGAAAGGTCAGTACTGTGAAATCAAATTAGAATTTTACATGGTTAGTTCAACTTTATAGAGACTGCTTATAAGGAATTGAATCCATCATATAGGAAACATGCATAACTTCTTCCAATATGCTGGAGCCCCAACTGTCCTCCTGGGCTGTACTCATTCATTTTCCTTCTCCTGATGCTCCATGAAAATTCCTGACATAGTTATTCCTCCCCTGTTACAAGCCAAGCTTAAATAATGAAAAACAATACCTTCTTCCTTGAGTTTCCCTTAGCAGAGCTAACAAAAGTTCTTTTTGAAAAAAACAAAACAAAACACTTTACTACAATCTTAATAATGGGAAGAAATAAATAGCTCTATAAAAAGCAAACATACATAGCTGTCTTCCCACAGTGTGGCACTGTTCCTTTGACAAACACCATCCCAAAGGACTACATTTTTTAAAAATGATTTTTTGATGTGGACCATTTACGAAGTCTTTATTGAATTTGTTACAATATTACTTCTGTTTCATGGCTTATTTTCTTAGTCACTGAAGCATGCAGGATCTTAGCTCCCTGACCAGAGATGGAAGCTGCATCCCCTGCGATGGTAGGCAAAGTCTTAACCACTGAAGCTCCAGAGAAGTCCCAGGATTGTAAATCTTATGTACTTTTCCCATTCCCCTTCTTCCTCCACTTTATTTCACCGGGAGGGATTTCATTTTATTAAGTTACAAATTTATAATAAATAAGTTAATAACTTATTTATTACCTATTAATGTTTCTTCCTCAATTTCTGATCCTTCAGTTCAGTTCAGTTCAGTCACTCAGTCGCGTCCGACTCTTTGTGACCCCCATGGACCATAGCTCCTTAGGCTCCTCTGTCCCTGGAATTCTCCAGGCAAGAATACTGGAATGGGTGGCCATTCCCTACTCCAGGGGATCTTCCTGACTCAGGGATTGAACCCAGGTCTCCTGCACTGGGCTTCTCTGATAGCTCAGTCAGTAAAGAATGTGCCTGCAGTGCAGGAGACCTGGGTTCAACTCCTGGGTCAGGAAGATCCCCTGGAGAAGGGAATGGCAAGGGTCTTTTCCAGTGAGTGGCCTCTTCGCAAAGAACTGGAGCTTCAGTTTCAGCACCTGTCCTTCCAGTGAATATTCAGGGTTGATTTCTGTTAGGACTGACTGGTTTGATCTCCTTGCTGTCCTAGGGAGCCTCAAGAGTCTTTTCTCCAGCACCATAATTCAAAAGCATCAATTCTTCAGTGCTTAGCCTTCTTTATGGTNGTTCACGTATTGCTGAAGCCTGGCTTGGAGAATTTTGAGCATTACTTTACTAGCGTGTGAGATGAGTGCAATTGTGCAGTAGTTTGAGGATTCTTTGGATTACCAGGGAATTTACTCATCACTAAAAATCCCGTCTAAGAACTGTCCGCGAGGCTCCTCCCTGTAAGTTTCCAGGAAAGCCGCTTACTGCCCTGCAGGACACGCTGTTTCAGGAATGCTCTGGACAAGGACCGGGCTTCCAGTAACAGGGAACAGACAGCAGATCTGCTCAGCCTGGCTTAGGCCTCACAGAGCAGGGTGGATGGGGCTCTCCAGGGAAAGGTGATTGGCAGGACCTCCCAGAGCAAGGATTTCCTGCCTTTTCCTATTCTTGCATCTCCGTCTATTCTACTTTTCTCCTGCATCTGAGGGGGAAAAAAAACAAAAACCCAGGAGACTTCGGGAGAAGGGCGAGTGGACTTTAATTTGAAGCCTGGAAGCTTGGAGGGACCCAGGCAGGGCCGTGGACTCAA